CGGCAATGCGGCGGGTATTTATACCCAGCCGATACGGGGAACAAACATACAAAAGGTCAATGGATAGTGAATATTCTCATGGTTATCAGTGGTTTTACAATGACACAAGGTTATCAAAGGTCAAAGGGTCGCGCAGAGCGAGACAAGCTTTTCACAGGTAGTAAGGACATGTCGTGAAAGATAACTTGTATTGTTAAAATTCTGCGTCCACTGCATTTGACTCAACCTCAACTTCACAGTAAGAATGGGGTTCTCGTGCTAAATTCCCGTCCCTGCTTATCATTCACCTGTTCACCAGTTATATTTTATAGATGGAATCATTTCAAATCCCGTGGACGTTAGGAGTCCTATTTCCTGATTCCTGATAGGTTCTTGAATGCTTCGACACTAACTGTAGCAGGAGAGCTGAAAGCGCTTGTGCCAGGTTCTTGTACATGAGGAACGATTGGGACCCGAGATGAGACAAGGCCGGTGTACTTCTCAGATGGAGCTTTCCTTTTCTCCATCAATCGACGTTTAAGCACTTTGGCCATTTCCGAGTCAATTTCATCAACAACGATCAAGCCCGCAGATCCGCTATGGTAATCATAATCATGTCTCCAAGAGCAGCAAGGAATTCCATATGTACGGAGGATAGTTTAGCAAAGACCCGATCGCTTGATCGAACTTCTTCTGCGTCCATCGGTCCATCCAGGTTCCTCTGAATATACATCCATAAAAAGGCTGTGTGCATGTGTCTCACTCCTGACAAATCCATCATGTATTTTTGATTTAAGAGTCTGCAAAATCTGAATGGTCCGGCCGGATCAATGGGTGCTGCATTGGCTAGCCCCCTTGCCGCTCGATAATCTTTCCTCTGAGAAGAGAGACTCGACAAGAAGTCGAGGAAGACATTGCAGCCTCGCTGGGTGAGATCACATATCGATATGTAAGCGAGATTTTCACCTGTTATCTTGAGCTTCTCGGCCACACTTAATCCTAGCACCATTCCAAAAAAATGCTAGTCTGATTTCTGTTAGGGCTTTGATCTGAATTTTACATCTCTCGGGCACGCTTGTGGCTACTTCCGGAGTGTCCATGAACTCAATCAAGCTTTGAAGATAAGTGGCAACAGTGGATGCATAAGCTGTCATGTTGATGCGGATAGCCTCAATGGCTTGTGCTGCGAAGTTGAAGGTTATGCTCGGATTCATGTCCAAACCATAACGTGTGGGCAATTTGCCGAATCCCTTTCCTTTTATGATTGCGTGTTCCGTTGATTTCGCCACAGGTCTGACAAGAAGATAACCAAATGCCACTCCGATAGAGACCAGTTGTTTTGCTGCGAAGTACTCTTTAATGAGTCTGATTAAGTCGCGTTCAAGCTGCGTCACTTCTTTGTTTGTAGATTCTTGAAATGGCATTGCCTCATGTGCATCTCTGACAGATGGTTTGGCATGCGAAGGTCCAGGTTCGTTGCTTTCTGATCCCGAGTCCGCCTTAGATGATGATGTTGCACGATGTCCCTCATAAATTTTGAACAAATCATCAAAGCAGTTATAATTTTCAGTCCTCAATCTTTCCATAAATGATTCACGCACCTTTGACGAAAATTCTGTGTATCCAGGCCAGGCATATCTGGTGTAGTTAGTTATCAGGCTTGTTTTGTATTTGCTTTTGAGAAGTTCTTGACCGGCAATGTACTCACCTGCAGAGTATCCGGCTGTGTGAAAATAGTACATGAGGATGACATCAGCTAGTTGAGAATGCGTGATCGGGAGAGTGATCGAGTGGGTCGCTGCGATGAACAGAATTGCGCCGGAGTATTGAAAGACATTGAACTCGTCCTCGGCCAGTCCAGGAGGAAAGTCTCGACTGGATGTGTGCTGGCTGAGGGTATTGATATCCCAATCGATATCAGTGACAGACGCTGTGCTTGTTCCAGTTCCTGTAGTGTGCTCGATCCCTTTGAAAATTGCATGTTCTCTTGCGACCTGATTCTTTCTCTCGGCAGAGAATGCCAAGGTACGCTGGATAGCGCGAATGTCATCTTCATCGAGATTCAGAGAGTGTGAAGTCATGCGTGCTATTTCGCCGGAAATAAAAACAAGTAGATGTGAGAAATCATAAGCACATCAAAAGGGTTGCAGGACCGTTGTCAACCGCGTGTGTAGTGACTCAGCGTTTTTGTCGTTTNGAGCAGACGAAAGAGCTCGCCATTCCTCAATGCCTCCTATTACCAGTGATACAATAGGATACCTAGCGAATACTGTCGGATTAAAACTGAAACAATGGTGTTGCAGTTCTTCAAACGATATTGTTGATCTCAGAGCTGATTCCCATAAAAACAAAGTAGCAAATAGATTGCAAACTTGGGTTTTATACAAGCCAAATGGATTTTTCTCGGTGTAGATGTCCTATACAGACATTCTATTAATATTTGGACAAGGACTAAGCCTTTGCTTTTCTCAGACTACCTAAACTTCGAATTACGAAGTTTCCTTAGTTGGAAGAAGTCTCTCTTTCTGAAAACTCTTCGACTCTTGGGTCCATTCGAATGTCTTCACTTGACGAGAGAGCGCTCTGAAGGAGGGTACGGACAACAAGCGGTCGCGCCCTCTTCCTGCTGGTGAACACGAGACGCAGAGATTGCTTCGCTGTCTGATCTTCTCGGCGAGAGAAATTCTGATTGACAACAGCCCTGTAACCAATCAAAAGTAGCTTTCCGTAATTGCGTACCGATAGCAACTATCGTAATTTCACGTCTAATTTTATCTATGAGGTAAGCTGAGCTGTCGGGCTTACTGAAGCACGATTCATAATCATGATTTCATTTCAACTGTTCCACATAACCAGAGGACAGTCTATGCTGAGAAAACCCTTCTTCTCTGCGTGTACCTATTTGCTGATTTACCTATTCTAGAGATGATGATGTTTATTAGGTCCATCTTCGCCTACTGGGTTTTTCATTGAATAGGCTTGCTCATAGATGATCCTGATCCTCTGCAGTCCTTATTCTTGACATCATGACAATCATTTGGATCTGTCATGGAATCATCTGCGTCAGTTTCAAAAAAGGCTCCTGGTTTACATAATGAGATACTATGTCTACGAAAATGCTAAAATCAAAAAAGAAAAGAGTGGAGGCTATTTTTTGAAGGTTCATTCTCATATTGCACTTTGGTAACGTTACATTATTATCGTCTCGATGTTGTTCAAAATCGTTTTGATTTTTTAGATGTGACTTTAATTTAACATCTAATATAATTAGTAGGAGGGTTCTCCTGTATTATTTTTGATTATGAAGTTCTCTGGTGATCTTCGTTGTTTCATCCCTACGAAGAAAAGCTCACAACTCTTGTGGTTATCTGTAGTTTTTAAATGAGTGCACTTGATTCATTGAATTTGTGGCCAATGTGTTCAGTTCCACGTTGGCAGTTGGCGCTGTTGCTTTTCTCAGTACATCACTTCGGCCTCGGCCTTACTTCGAGCATTTTATTTCTATGTCAACATATTCAAGTGTTTACGGCATAGGTCTTATAAGGCTATCCGTGCTATTCTGTGTACAAACTGTAATTCTTGTTCGACTGTACGTTCATACTTTTAGAGTACCAACAAATCTGAATTTTGTTGCTCATCTCAAGAAAACTTTCCGGGTTCTTTTTCTTAGGGAGCGGCTATCCTTTGTGGTAGAACTTTGCCCGGCAAATGATTCGGAAAAAATTAATCTTTACGATCAGCTTCTAGTGATTTAGTGAGCTTTCTTTTCAGGGATGGGTTCAGGCTCATCAAAAAAAGAACCGCCAGTGATTGTCACATCAAAAATACCACTGTTTTGTCTAAAGAAACTTGGTCCTCGGCATGTGCTGGTCGCTGGAGGAGGAGGGGAATCTAAAACTGGCGTTTCAAATTTGATACAGGTACTTCTTGATGAATTTGTGATCCTTATCTACGCTTTCACTTGATATTTTACTTTGGACCAAAAACCTGCAAAATTGTCATTTCTGTGATGTTTTGGTTGAAATTAAACGGTAGACTTTATTCCGTTATGACGGGCTTAAGGGTTTTTGCTTGTTCAGTTGCTCCCTAACTCCCACTATGAGGTTTCAAAGATGAGCTATGACATATCACAGTTAACATATTTTGCTTATTTTTTTGCTGAAGAGAACTTATCTTTTTCCTTTTTGAAGAATGAGAGGCCTAACTACTCTTCGCGTTCTGTATTGTTGTATATATGCATGAGTTATCCTTAGGTAGAACAAGTTAGCTTCTGATCTTCATCGTTGCTTGTTTTAAAGGTGTAAGATACCTTATTGAGGGCAGAAAATGGATTACAAGTCTATACTCGAAACAGTTCATTTTCGTTTTTTGCTTTGCCACGTAGCTCAAAATGTAATCTTTAATCTTAGCCTGCTCACATCTTATGAAGTAGTTAGACAAGGATACGAGCGAAAGCATCCAAGCGAATCTATCAAACCTGTATCGAACGAATACAAGTTATTTCACATTCAGCCACCCATCACAGCAATATGCATGGGCTTTGATTTTCCTCGGGCACCTGGCTAACTGTGGATAAGCACCCACGTTTGAACGACCGATTTCAGAGTCCGTGACGGTTGCCGATGTTTGTCTTCGGCTTTGAAAGCGGTCATTCAATTTTGAACGATCGATCAAGTGCTGGCTGAGAGCGGCATCTGACGTTCGCCGTCGGCTTGAAATCAATGCGATACTTAGAAACTCCGGAACTACCTCGCTAAACTACTGAAATTTCGAAAACTATCATCCTACTTTATATAATTCGCTAAGTGTGTCTGTTGGTGTGTCGGTGTGTTTGTGTGTGTGTGTTTGTGTGTGTGTGTGTTTGACCGGAAATTCA